TCAGGCTGATGGAGCGCCGCACCGCCCCGTCCCGACCCCGCCCTCCGTAGCTGTCGGCGGGGTCCACCAGCAGCAGCCAGCACGGGGGAGCCGTGGGGACGACTTCGGAGGTGACTCGATGGCGGGAGGTTTGCTGCTGAGAAGCCACCTCCACCCAGTACAGCACTTTCCTTTCCAGCGAGAAGTCGTGCTGCAGAAGAGCGAGAGACAGCTGGTGAGGACATGTGAAACCAGACCATGTGGCATGGAGCAAATGCACTCCTCGAGGCATTTTAAGGGCTGCAGTCTTCCCATATCAACTCCTATTTGCCTGAGCATTAGGGCTGGCTGTAGGATTTGGCAGTGCCAGCTTCATCTCTATAGGGAATCCCCAAATTTATACTTGAAAACAGTCTATCTATGAAGTCATTACTATTGTGAGTTGCACCTACAGTTCTTTGGAAAAGTGTTTTATGCTTTTAGGTGTTTGTGTCATTTTGACTGTGGAAGGCAGGAGTGTGCAGACATCCCAGTTTTATGTAGCTGCAGAGAGGCACCACATCCAGCCACAAGCTGCCCCCAGAATGGTGGCAGAGTTTGTTTGTGGCCCTCATTAGCAGTGCTTGGCAGAGCTGCTTCATGGGCTCAGAAGCCACCAAGAGGGGAGATGCCACCTCAGGCAGAAGCAGAACCAGCCGTGGGATTCTCTAGTGGCGCCAGGGTCTCGGCTGGTCCCCAAACAGAGTTGTCATTTCCACATAGTTCAGCTTAAAATATAAGTGTGTTTGTGACTCAAATCTGAGGGTTTTCCTGGAACAAACAAGCCTTGCCCGTCCCAGAGCTCTCCAAACAAGGTCTCCTCCTGACAGGCAGGCAAGTACATTCACAGCCCAGGAATGCTGTTTTTACTGTTCCTGCCACTTGGGTCAGCTGTGGACCCAAATCAGCCTCCCTGAGGAAAACACCCTCATGTCCCTCCACACGGATCAGCCTGGACCAGCAGCTCAATGGCTTCATTTCAGAAGGGCGCATCAAATCATCCCCAAATAGGGAGAAACAGGGGGTATTTATATAAACACTATCTATATGCTTCCAGCACAGGTAGTATTGCCTACTTACAGCTGGTAGATTTATCAGTAAATCTTTAACAAATATTATTAACAAATGAGACAGTGGTAACTGCAAAGTAGCAAACAAACCCAGAGCAGAGCCTGAAGTTTGTCCTCCTATCCCAGAAAAACCTAACCCTCCTGCTTGGAAAGTATTTTAGAAAGCAACCCCAAACCAACCCCATCATCACTGCCACACACAACAAATCGTTCTCGCCTCCTCCCAATACTGCTTCAAACCAGCCAGTGAAGGGATCAGTTAGGAGGTTTCTCTTCCCTTCTTTCATGAGAACGCTGCTGACATCCCTTTGAGCATCCCCCAGCAGTGACCCAGGTGTGGACTCACCATGGTGCTCATGAGGATGTCGGTGCAGTCAGGGAGCTCAATGTCTGGGGCAGTGACTAAAGTGATTTCTTCCTCTGAGCCCCCATTGAGGCTCATGGCCGTCCGGAAGGGAATTTCATCCAGGTAGTTCATTGCTGCTGCCTGATTTCTTGCTGCTGGAGGAAAGAAAACAGAAACTCTAAGAGGGAGGACTAGCACCTCTTAAGTTGGCTATTTCAAGTGCCAGCTGGGTAAAAACAGATTGGCAAAATCTTAATTACCGACACCAGGAAGCTTTGTCTGAACTAACCTTTGCTATTCTCAGCTTGACCCAGCCAGACTTGACCACGCTTATGGCTTCTTTTGGCATAAGAGTACTTATGAGCATAAGAGTATTTATTAAGAGTACATAGAGACCCTGAGCATTTTTCTCCTCCATGCTTGCCTTGCTGCTTCCCATCCCTCCTGTCTCTCCTTCTCCCTCTGGTGCCATTGCATGATCCCTTCCCCAAGTTGGGGAAGGACTGAGGACTTTTTCCAGTTACAGAGGGAAAAAGCACAGCCAAGGAGGACACCTTGCAGGTCTCTCCTGTCTGTACAACCTGTGGTGACAGAGCTCATGCACATGGCCTCGTGCTGCTAAGCCATCACATGGAGCATCCCAAGGGAGCTGAGGTGAGGGCATCCCTTTGGGCACTGCAGCAGTTTCCTGGGAGCCAGACAAGGAGGCATTAGGCAAGCCTGGGAATTTGGAGGATGTCAAACAAGCCACGTTTAAGATTAGCTTTTAGGAACCATGCATTCATTTTAACTGTGGTGATGGTTATAGATCAGGAATTGCAGGGGAGAGAAAAATTGCTGGTGAATTTGGAATGCTGTCAGGGAAAATATTACTGCAAGTGTAGCCATCAGATCTCTATAAATGTCTCAATTTACTAAAAAGCCATTACTTGCTGCATGAAGCCTTGAGTTTTCAGCTTCACAGTGATGACAGTGTGTAAAATCACTTCTTTAACAGATTATAAACTGTTAGGAGCTGGTAGCCAGTCTTCCACCCAGTTCTGGTGCTGGCAGCATGTGCCTGCTCATCCCAAAGTCCTCAGCACTCATCTTCAGATCACACAGTAAATATGTATGTGACATCCCTAAGTGCTTTTCCCAGTTATTTTTTTTCCTTTAAAAACAAACAGCTTCTATGACAACAAGAATAAACACTCCACTAAGAGGAAATATGCTGAAGAATATACACAAGGATGACAGAACTGCCTGTTTAAAGCAAAAATAAGAGTCTATAATGGGACATTGGGTTCAGGATAGTTTTGTGTGTTGACAAAGGACTCACAAAGAGCTTACAGGCCGCAGAGATTGCCACACACAATCAATGTGCACAATCACTCAGTGCAACTCCGCTTTGTTGTGCCAGAATGACAACAGGGCTGTCACTTTGCCTGTTTATGTCAGGAGCCTTTAATACCTCTGCACAAGCAGAGCCTCTAACAAGCTTTGTGCTCCTGCACATGTCCTGCCACTAACATGCAGCACAGGCAACGTGTTGGGATCCCACATGGAGCCACGCCATCTGCTCAGCTTAAGAGGGCTCAGCCTAAGGGACAATCCACGTCAGCAATGACAAAGGTGACGCCTGAAAACATCTGTAAGCAAAGCCACCTTCCCTCAACTTTCTGTTACTCCTTGAGCAGATCCTGCATGCAAGGGGGACTTGACCTCCCCTGCAGTTTGGGCTGTAAATTGGCTCTTCCCAAGCTCCCAGGGTGCTGAGGAAAGCAGTGTCTCAGCATCTGTCACCCAAAATGACTCCACTCAGGTTCAAATTATACTTTAAGGGATGCTGATGGGTAGTGAGTGTGTCTGAAGCCACAATGAAAAAAATATGAGATGATGGCACTGTACCTCACTGTATTTCACTGCATAAATACTGTGCTTTAAGAGAAGCTCACACAAATGTTAATTCCCAAAACTACAGTTTAGAAAACAAGTACTTTGGGGCAAGAGCAATCACAATAAAAATGCTACTAGAAAAGGATAAAAGAGGGTCAGTCATAAATACCCAATCCCACCAGAAGGGAATTCCTACAAGGGCTCTGACCTCATGTTCTCCACACCAGCTCTGCCCACTTTCATATCGCAGACACCAGCCAGTGCATGAACCAGCTCACATCAGGAAGAGGATGTGCCTGAACAGCAGGAGAAACAACTGCACCAGGACCGGGGGAGGAATAGGATACAAACTAATCTTGGAAACTCACAGCCAACCTCTCTCTTCTTCTGGGCTATACTGTTTCTACAACTTAAAAACAGTGGGAAATCTTATACTCAGGAAAATGGGAATCCAGTCTGAAGACACGCTTTTTCAGTTAATACCCTGTGTCCAAGTATTTTTATGAGTTGAGATTTTAAACATTCCTATCTGTGGCTTCAACAACTTCCTCACTAAAGCTATTAAACATTTTAATGCAGATGTTGTTAGACAGGAACAAATACACAGAACATACCTAAAGGTAGATTCTCCCCTGGCATTTTCAAGCCCTATGTTTATTAGCAATGTGAAGCTGTCCTTACCGTCAGATGAACTCATGGAGCTCTCTCCTCGCAGGGCAGGGAGAACAGGGCTGCTGCTTTGCAGTCTCCTTATCTACTGCTCAGCTCTTTAAATTCTTGCAGTGTCAGACAAGCAGCTGACTTGGACAGCTTTAAGATAATCATAGCTTAAGCAGTTGGCCTGTTCCATCAGACATGCTGATGGGATAAGGAGCCTAATTGTTTAAGCAGAGCATCCTCTGGTCACTAAGCTGCCTGAACTGAAAGTGTTTGGTTTGTATTGGTTTTATGCAGTTTTTTTTATTTTTAAATTTGACCTTGTGTGTTTTCATCAGGGAAGACTCCCCAGGATCTGGCTCAGCCTTGGGTCTGGAGTAATGAGATGCTGGAAGTGACATTAGGAAGGGAGGATGTAGGGAAGAGCAAATCAGAACACCACTTGCAGAGGACTTCATGGCAATCTGTATTTTGGGGTGCTACAGGTGAGCAGGAATTGCAAACTTGTGCACTCATGTTCTATCAGGAACTACCAGTTTGTGTCTCTTACTGACAGAAACCAGCACAAAGGTTCAGCCAGGACACTACTAACATTACACCTAAGACCCAGGTACTGAATTTAGGCAATGCCATGCGTGAATTACGCACTGTTGTGACGCCAAGAGACAAAGCACTGGAGAGATTAACTTGATTCCCACACATTGGGGCTAAGCAAGAATAAGGACTGCAGCTCTGGAAAGGTGCCACAGCAATCTGTGCAGAACAGCAAAGCTCCAAATCCATATGGCCTGTCAGAGTTACAAACAAACTGTCCAGAACATGGAAAACTTTGACATCAGATGTCACCTCTGTCACCTTGCAGGACGGAGAAGTTCCTTCACACAAACCTTTTCCCAACAATTCTCTCCTCGTTGGAGTCATATTTGATGCAAAGTACCCAAACAAGTCTCTCCCCTGGTGTGAAAATGCTTTAAACAAAAATCCATTTATCTCTATTTTTTCTGTAAAAAAAACCAAACCAACTTACAAAATAAAGCTGTGGTTTTTAATCAAATATTATAAATGTGATATGTCCCTATACAAAAATATCTATATAGTCTAAACATTTACAGTAAGTTAGACTTCAGAGTTTATTAGTTTTTTTTTCCCAGCAGGCTTATTCATTAAATTTGTATTTATTCACATGGCAGTCTGACCTATTTCACCACAACTGGGAATTTTTTCCATGTTTTGGTATCAGTTTTAGTCCACAAAAGTAAAATGTCAACAGCTGTTTTAATCAACCTTGAAAAACCCTGACCTGTTTGTACTTCAGAATTCGTTTAAACTTGTAATTGGTTTGTCTCTACACTCAAAAATACAGGAACTATTTTGACAGTGATGCTTGACATGCTTCATTTAAAAAAAAACATGCTTACTAATAATCTCTTTTTTTAAAGAAATTCTTAATTTCTGACGTTTTCATCATCCTTTATAAAGATAAAAGCCACTAAAAATAGGATGTTAATACTGGCACAAATACCACCATCAGCAATGTTCCTTTATTAAGATTAAGATTTAGTAAGAACTCGCAGCCGGATTGTAATTCCACAGCATGAGAGGCCTGGAAGCTTTGGGCTTGCTCAGCTATCTCCCTGCACAGTCCATCAGCAAAAACAATTCTTAAACTTTTTTTCAAGACGTTGCAGTAAATTTTTTCAAGACATTCCAGTACCTGGCTGACAAAAGAGAGGACGAGACTTCCTCTTTGGACCCTCATATTTACATATAATTATAATGAAGCAGTCCTCCAACGATGAAATAATTTTTTACTAAATTATCTGACAGCAGTGGCCCAAGTGTCATTGGTGGGGAGACTCGGGAGAACCCATCCTGGAGGGATGCAGCTTCCTTCAGGGTGGTCAGCTGGCACCAAGTACTGATCCCATTCATGCCTTTAACAGAGAGAGCATTGTTTGAGAGGAGACCTGGGATTAGTTTGGTGGTAAGATTTACTGTATACCCACATAGAAGTTACTGATCAATACAAAACACACAATACTTGTACTCTTAAACTTGTTTTTCAAAGACAAATGTGAAAATTCAATGTTCTGGTGTTAAATGAGCATCTGTTGGATATGACTCAAACAAGAAACTTTAAAAAACCAGAACAATCCATTGCATAACCGTTTTTGGAAGCTGACAAACCAAAAGGGGCACTGAATTTACATTTGCAAAAAACAGTGCCCACAGTCTCTGATGATAAAATACTTTCTTTGGGTTTACCTGATCTGGATTAGAGCTGCTACAGAATGTTCAGCTTGTAAGTAGTAGTCTCTGAAAGGCTGCAGCAGATGGACAAGTGGGAATTCAGCTGTGAAAACACAGACGCAGGAATTGTTCAATAATCCAGAAAAATCTTCCATTCCACTGAGTCTCAGAAGCCCCAAATTTGCAAAATCATTTGCTACTGCCCAGCTGTAATCTGACATCAGGTCCCTATGTAATATATGAAAGACTGTTTACATGTTACACATCTCCTGGTCCATACCACAACTGTCAGGGGAAAGCCAAGACTAGCAAAACTTCCTGACTCCACCATCTAAAAAAGGGGAAAATATGGACACTGAATCTGAGTCACACTTACCAAAGCACCAGACTAAAGCACCTACTGGGTTCTGGAAGCCTTCAATCTATTTTGTTTATTCTCACTTCAGTTTAATCTACAACCTCTTCTTGCAAAACATTATGAAACCAGCTTGAGCTGCGCTGCAAGTCCATGTTGAAGAGCTCAACAGCTCCTCTTACACCACAGGTGTTAACAGCACTATGTTTATCCCCCATTCTCAGAAAATAAATTACTCCAGTGAATGATTCCTTTCTCAGCTAGATCTGTGCCTGCATTTCAAATCCAGTGTCTGTGAGATGGGGATGTGATGCGGAAAAACACTGTTAAGAACAGGATGCAGAATTTACCTGGATCTCCAAACAGCTTGGAATCAATTTCCAGTTTCTGCTGTAGTAGTTTTTCCCTTTCTTTCTTCTGTTTCTTTTCCATTTCCCTCTTCCTTTCCTCCTCCTGTTCTCCCTCCAGCATAACCCTTAGTGCTCTTTCCTCAGCTTCATACAGTTCTGTGCGAGTTTTGAGCAACGTTTTGAGACTCTCCACCTGATTTTCAAATGCTTCATCTGCTGAAGGAGGTGGACAAACACCTGAACAAAAAGAGAAATGATTTTAAAATTTCAGATTCAGAAGGGGGTTTCATAACAGACTTGAGAGCATAGCTGGCAAATTCTCAGAAGAACATGAGCTTAACCTTGTTAACAGATGGAATTCTTACTAGAATAATCTTTCTTCTAGAAGGAGCTTGGAAACATAGGAACACAACCACTGAATTCAGCATTTTGTACCTATCCTTGTAATGAAGATCACAATGACACAAAAACACAGCTTTTTGAAGCTAGCAAATCAGCAAAGGGACCCCTCATCTTATTTCCCGTGTGTGAAATTTAAAAAGTTTGGATCTATCTTGTAATGAACCTTTCCTGGCAGCAGCTTCTTTCCTCAGTTTCCGAAGCTTTTCCAACCCGCACAGGACATCCATCATCCTCTTTGTATCTGCTTGTTTCTTCCGGACTTCAGACAGGACACTGTCAGCAGCAGCCTTCAGCTCTCGTTCCTATGAAAGGAAGGCAAAAAAACAGATGAGATGTGTGAAATATCCCTCAAAGACAAGAATCAAGTGGTATTTTCAGAGGTTAGCAAAGCACTGGAGAGCAGAGTGACAGCAACAGCAACAAGTTAAGCCAACTATCCAGCCTTGCCTTTTTATGAAAAAAAGGCTATAACACCACAGACTTCAGAAAACAAAAAAGAATGCTATAGGACTCATAAATCTGGGCCAAATCACAGAATCATGGAATTGTTAAGGTTAGAAAAGATCATCAAGTCCATCTGTCAACCCAGCACCACCACCATGTTCACCACAAAACCATGTCCTCAAGTGCCACATCCACACATTTTTGAACACTTCCTAGATGATTTATGAATTATGAAAGCATGAGAGCCTTTAACCACAGAAATTTAGGGTAAATATTTTACAATAAACAGAAACCATCCTGATTCCACTGTTCTGCAATTAAGAACCATTAACCTGCCACAGTCTGACCACAGACCCTTCCTCAGCAGCTGCTCTGGACTATCCCAGCAGCAGACCAGCAGAAAGGGAACTCTTTAGCCAAAAACCATCAGAAAGATGCTTACAGCACTTCCCAACAAGTCTAATTTGAGATGGTATTTTTTGCTTTGGAGATGCATTACTTCCCTATGAAACCAAAAAAGCTTGTAAACCACGAGCTTTAGAAGGATGAAAGCAGGAGGCAAGGCTGATGGATACTGAAACAGCTCTGACCACCACAGGGCAGCTGTGAGCTGTGTGGACAGGCTGACATTTGGGACCAGAGAGGAAAACCTCCAGGAGTTCAGGAACAACTTCAACCCCAATTTCATGTCAAGGCCTAGAATACGAGGATGGCAAAACCGAGATGCCCACCAAGACTTCTAAGCAAGCAGGGTCGCAGGCCTTGGAAACAACACGTCTCAGTATGTTGAAGTCATGCAGCACCTCAGTGGCACCCACTGAAGCACGGGGGTCAAAGCCAAGCGCGGGGCAGGCACAGCCCGCCGTGACCCCGTTACCGGCAGGTCACCCCTGCTCCACCGCGCTGTCCGGGAGCCCCGGGGAGAGGCAGGACTAGGCACTGGGGACCGTACCCGATTCTTTTCCTCCACCTCCTGGATGCACTTAGCTCGCCACTGGTCGATCTTGGCCTCTCGCTCGGCGGCCCGGGCCGCCTCCTCCTCCTTGGCCGCCCTGGCTTCGTGCTTCCTCCTCTGCAGGCGCAGCCTCCTCTTCCTCGCCCTCTCGGCCTTCCTGCGCAGCGCCTCGCCGTACCCGGGCTCCCGCAGGGGCCGCACGACCTCCCGCAGCTCCCTCAGCGCCATCTCCGCCTCCTCCCGCGCCCGGGCCCAGCCCGGCTCGTCGCCCT